AACTCCCAAATTGCTGACATTTCTTCCAATATGGTGAAGTAGGCCATAAGTAAATTCATGGTGATGCCATTTCCTCTCAGCACGCGACTCTGCCCTTCCCAACATCTCTCAGGCCAGGCAGTTCTTGCGTGGTTTTTCTTCCTCCTCATGTACACACCAAACCAATGCCAGAAGTTTCATCTTTGTGGCTCCTTTCAGAAACTTGTGTTTCCAAAATAGTAAAATTTGATTTACAGGGTAGATTGTTGGCCAGTAGGACAATCTTGGTGCCTCCTGCATGTGTGACACTCCAATGATGACCAGCAGCACCTTAAGCTTTCCTCCTTTGTTGGAGAACACTGTGGCCCACTGATTTCATATGATGTCATTCGTTAACTAGAAGACTCCATCAAGAATTCTGCAGGAGTCATATGACTTTTACCTAGGATGGAATGTAATAGGTGTCTCCACATCCTACCAACAAGCATATTTGTCTTCTGTTCATGTTCTGCACATCATGGATTGGTTGCTGCTCTGTTGAGACCATGGTACTATTACAGTAAGTGAACAAGCAATGATGGGCTGGTACTGTAGCTCTCAGAGGTTCTGCTCATAATTAGGATGTATCCCATATGCTTATGTTCTACTAGACAATGCAAATCAGTGGCCATGGCAGCTATCAGTTTACTTTATAGACCCCACAAGCTGAGGGGCCTATTCTAACAGTATTCTCCTATTCTAAACACTAATAGGAGCTGCCATAGGAGTGTGCCTTTGCCACTGAATCTCATGACCTGCCTCAGCCAAGAATTTGGCCTTGAATTACTGTATTTTCAGGAGACTTTCATCAAGATGTGGGACAAGAATATAAAATGGAAAAGATAAAGAGGCAAAATTTTCAGAATCCAATGATGATTTGTTGAGTGGCAGGGTAAAGACAGGAATTAAGGACCATGTCTCAGATTCCCCTGGGTGGCTGATGAATGATAATGTCAACAAGTAGCTTATGAATAGAAGAGGAAGGGAGGTTTGGAAGGAGAAAGGATAAGCCTATCTTTTAAGCAACCTGTTGCTGGCTCATACCCTTTGAACTCTACCTTGATTTTGATCGGTTTGAGCAAGTCCGTGCTTCTTAGTCTTGAAGGCCTGCCTTTGGGCTCTACCTGTGTGTACCTGCCTTTGAGACATCCATGGAGAAGGAGACAAGAGGCAGCTGTATAGAGCTGTAAATCTCCAGAGAGATTACTGGACTGGGACAAAGATATGAGGCCCTGAAGCCTTTAAATAATAAGAACAGCTGCTTGGCTTGTGCTATTGAGCATTTACTGCATGCTAGGAACTGTGCAAATGATTTCTATATTTTCTCATTTAATTCTCACACTGGACTTATATGATAGTTGGTACTATTTAGCCTCATTTGGGAGCTGAGGAAATGAAGCCTTGAGAAATTTTAAAACACAAAACAAATAAGAAGTTGCATAAGCGATCTGTAGTAGTGCCTTCTCTGTTGCCATCATAAAATACAGCCCCCAAGAGCAACTTATGGGAGAGCTTATTTGTGCTTATGTTTCCATGATGGCAAGGAGCCACAGCAGCAAGGGGCCTGAGCAGGAAGCTGGGAAAGCACATCAGGAATCAGAGGGCGAACTGGAAATGAGGCCAGGAAGCTGGTGTGCAATGGTATACTTCCTCCAGCAAGGCTGCACCATCTCCCCAAACAGCTCCACCAATGGATGGGCTAAGTGTTCAAATACCTGAACCTACGGGAGACATTTCTCATTCAAACCTCCACAGGATCCAAGGTTTTTGTTTTCATGACCCATATTTTAACAACCTCATGGTCGGAACTAGGCTGACAAATGAGAAGAACATCCAGGCACCACTAGCAGAAAAGAGCTGAGAACAGTGAGTCAAGGGCACGATCCCAGAGGGTGTGAGCAGTTAAAGACTGGGAGAGACTGAATAAAGCAGAAGGGACAAGAAGACAACAACAATCTCACAAGTCAGGTGTCTGGGAGAGCGGGGCGCTCCAAAAGCAGAGCTGAGAAGCGTCCATTAGTGTTCTGTCCAGTCTTTGCCTGTGTCTCCAACCCCAAGGGAGCATCTGTAACCATCCACATACCTGACAGAGCTCTACAAATACATGGACCTCTTTGGAAGCGTCTACTCTTGCATGCCGGTACCCTTTGACCTCATCTTGATTTTGACATTTTTGAGTGGGTATTTGCTATTCAGACCTGATGATCTGCTTTTGTGCTCTTGACCTTGTCTACTCATGTACAGTTCTGGACTCTTCTTTCAGCTTAGAAAACACCCACTCAAAAATGTCTATATAATTTTTTTGCCTTCAATCAGCTTCATTTGGAAAACAAAGAATGAAAAATGGTTCAGAAGTGTCAGTTTTCAGGAACCATGATGATGCCTGGCTTCTGACACAGTACCACATGACCGTTATCCTACATGACTCAATGACCTTTGCCCTTCTTAAGCCATAGTCTAATGTTCTGTTGAACACCTCCACAGCCTCCTGAACTAATTTTGCTTGCACACTACTTGTGGTGACTTGAAAAAAAATGCGCCCCAAAGGAAGTGGCACTATTAGGAGGTGTGGCCTTGTTGAAATAGGCATGGTCTTGCTGGAGAAAAAGTGTCACTGTGGAGGTGGGCTTTGAGGTCTCATATATGCTCAAGATACCTCCCAATGTCTCAGACCACTTCCTGTTTCCTGCAAGATGTAGGACTCTCAGCTACTTCTCCAGCATCATGTCGGCCTGCATGGCACCCATGTTGCACCCTGATGATAATGGACTGAACTTTTGAATTGTAAGGAAGCCACCCCAATTAAATATTTTCCTTTATAAGACTTGCTATGGTCACGGTGTCTCTTCACAGCAATAGAAAAACCCAACTAAGACACTACTGTAGTACTGGCTGTCCTGAGGTACCCAAAGCTTCAGGACCTCTTAAGCAGTTTCCAAAAATATGCTTTTAAAGCTCACTGTATCCCAGTATCCCTGGTCAGAATGCCAGAAAAGGATAGTGTAAGAGATTGATAACAGTGTGTGTGTGTGTGTGTGTGTGTGTGTGTGTGTGTGTGTGTGTGTAGCTGCCCTACTAATGACCTCCCAAAACTGAGAAGGAAGCTGGCCATGATGTGCTGAGGTTGGCACTATGGTCAGACAACTCAAAACTCCTCTCACCTCTGCTCTAGTGCAGGAGCTGAAAATCGGGTGCTGCTCTCAGAATGTGGCTGTTTTAACCAATTCAGACTTACACCGACGTAAGAGGCATACAGTATTATTACTGCTGTTTTACAGGCAAGGAGCCTACAGGCAGACCGTCTGTTAACTGCTCACTGAGGTAGCACAGACTTTAGACCCTGCAAGAGACAGAAGTTGAGAGTTGCATTCAGGCAGTGCACTCCTGACTTGAGAGTTGCGTTCAGGCAGTGCACTCCTGACCTGTGCACCCGTGTGCCAGCTCCATACGACCAAGCACAGATTGTTTAGTCTGCACTTTTGAGACACACTGGTGCTGCCCACATTGTGGAGAGGGCAGTCCTGGCCCAGAGGGAGCCCTATAGAACCCGCCATTATTCATAACTGAACATAGAAAAGTGCAGGACATGGTAGCACCCGCCTTTAATCTCAGTTCTTGGGACACGGAGGTGGGGGGATCTCTGTGAGCTTCTAGCCATCATAGTGAGAGCCTATAAACAAACACACAAACAAAGAAATAGATAAATAAAATAGGGGAGGGTTTTCTGCCAGGATATCATCAAGCCCTTCTTGAAGTTTGGGTATGAAATATCCTCCTTATATGTTAAAGCATTAGTTATCAGCTGTGGAGGTGGTGCCGCCTTTGAATGATGAGGCCTAACAGAAGGAAAGAGGTGGTCACTGGGGGTTATTCCTGAAGGAGCCATGGGAACTCTGGCCCCTCTTTTCTCTCCTCTTGGCGTCTTAGCCACCACAGGTGAATGGCTCTCTTCTTCCAGGAGCTTCTACCAAGAGGAAATCTCTCATCCCAGGCCTAACAGCAGCCACGTCAGGTGACCAAGAACTGGCGTCATCATTCCACAAAACAACCCTTTTCCTCCTTTAAGTTGATTCATTGCAGAGACTTTGTGACAGTAACAGAAAGCAAGCACAGCCCTGGGGCTCCAGCTGACGCTATGAACTTCTGCAAGACAGGTGTCAGCTCTCAGCTATGCAGCCAGCAACACCAATTACCAAGTAGATGCTTTGCCCCGGATGCTGGAGCACAAGAAGCGGCAGAGTTAGCCCGGAAGAGTCTCTTGAGTATTTCTCAGTGGTTCTCTGGGATGATAGATCTCTGCACTTACACGGGGTGCTAGCCCAGAGCCACTGCTCCTGTGGAGGCAACAGAGAGCAGTGTAAGGTGAAGAGCAGTGTTCACCAACGTCAGGAAGGCCTAGGCCTCAGCTCAGCCACCCATTTGTGCACCATCACACAATGGCCATGTTCTGAGGCACTACCACAGAACTTCACTCAGCACCGGAAGCATGGTGAGTCAGGCTTCCTGCAGAGCAGTCATGATTTCTGACCTTCATGCCTCCAATCCTACCTGTGGTATTTCCATCTCTGATTCCTCCTCTATCTGAGCTGGGTCTGTGAGGTGTATCCTACCTGCCCACCACACCTGGACAGGTCAGATCAGGATGTAGAGGCCACACTGTGGTTCTTCCTTTCAGGACCGCTTCTCCGTGTGACAGCCGTTTCTGTCCTAACCATGTCCTCAATCCTTTCCCCAGTACCGTTTGCACTCCTGCAGGCAGATGGTACCTGGGAAGGTATGCACCAAGCAGAAGGAAGTTTTGTGTTTCAGATTCTGGCTGGCGTTGGGCTTCAGAGAGAAGATTTGGGTGTAGGATGCCACATAATTCTCACCAAATGCAGTGACAAGCATGCTGTTTCATCTTCTGCTCATAGTTGAGGGACTATGCCAAAGGCCAAAGGAGTAAATGACAAAGCCACATTTTAAATGACAAAGCCACTCTTCCACCAAGCACTGCTTGTTTCTAACTCTCTGGCCACCAGCAACATGAGTAGATTAACCGTAATTGTGCTCCAAAGAGAGTAGAATCACAGGGAATCTCTCCATGGGGATTTCTCATTCATTTGTTTCTTCTTATCCATGTCTTCACTGATGGACCCCCATTACCTGGAACCATGTCTAGTTCATAGTCAGTACTCAACAAGGCTAGAGGTGGCCTCATGAAGGGCACAGGGTTTATTGACGCAGGCACATCCAGGTGACAGGAAAGTGGCTCTTATGGGACCAGATGACAAGATCTTCAGGACAGAGATGAACCATCGCTCAGCTCCTCTTTGCAGGCTTTCTTCCTATTGACTCGTATCTTTTCTCTACATCCTAATTGCTGCTTCTTCATGAACCTGACTTAGCATATGTTCTGCTTTCTCACGGTCATCCTCTAAGCCCTACTCAGGGTAATGACACCCTTCCAGCTTTATTTCCACAGACAAATGCTTCTTTATCGCTTGCATTCTGACCCATGTCCCAGAAGCACAGAATCACATAGACGAAACTCATCTTTTGCACCTGGGATTGGTTTTTGGAGAGGCAGCCCTCGGGTCACAGTCCACCTCCTGGTCCAATCAAGAGCCATCCCTCAGTAAAGAACAACCAAGTTCAGCTGCTCAGAGCAGGGGGCTGTGGGTGGGGCAGTTTCACCTCAAAGAGGAAGTTGGGTGTGGCAGGCACTTTGTTGACATATCCAATATAGGAGTGCCCATCTCTCGTCTCTCCCAGAGATAACTGTGGGTTTGAACCTTTTACCAGACACTCCCAGAGAAAGCACAGCCTGATGCACTGGGAACTTTGTGAGTTTGGAGTCTCCATCATCAATTCCCTGCAGGGTTCCTCCCAGGACTACTGTGATGCTTCAACCTGCACCTGTTTGGAGTTCATTGGGATCTGGAGCCTGTCTTCTGTTTAGGTGAGTTGGCTGCTAACTGGACTGCCTGACTCTTGGGAAAAGGGAGGGCTTAGATTCAAATTTGGTTCTGGATCACTCTTTCTCCTTGGAAAACAATGACCGCACTCACCTCTTGCTCCCTCCCATCTATTTTACCCACTCTACCTGCTCAAGGTTGTCATTGACCTCAGTGTACCTTCCCTTCCCAGGCCTTCCAATCTTCTTCTTAGGGAATGGCATTAAGAAGTAGTAGTTAGTGACATCCGAGAAAGAAATTTTACAGGAATGGCTGGGGTTGTAACAGACAGAAACCACTTGAAGTGAAAGACGACTAAGACAGTTACAGTCAAGAATTTTGTTGTTTTGTTAAGTAATTTTGTGTCTGATTATTTAACACATGATTTCACTGTTTCAAAGAAAAATATGAATGACAAATTCTTTTTTTCAGATTTATTTTATTGTTACTTATATGTACTTGTGTGTCTGTGTGGGGGTTTATGCACATGAGTGAAGGTTCCTGTGGAGACCAGAAGAGGGCATCAGATTCCCTGGAGCTGGAGATACAGACAGATGTGCACTACATGATATGGATACTGGGAACCAAACTCAGGTCCCCTGGAAGAGCAGTTAAGTGGTCTTAAGTCTGATCCATCTCTCCAGGCTCTAAAGATTCATTTTTATTTTCTTAAGTTATATGTATGTGCACATGTCTGTGTGAATATATGCCACTCATGTGTGGGTGCCTGCCAAGACCAGAAGAAGATGTGAAATTCCCCAGAGCAGGAGTTACAGGTGGCTGTGAGTCCCCCAATGTGGTGCTGTGAATGGAACTCCGTTCTTCAGGAAGAGCAGACAGTACGCTTAACCACTGAGCAAACTCTGCAGCCCAATATTTATCTAGTAACAGCAATTTTATAATGTCTTGTTAAGGTACTAGCTAAATGATTATGGTAGTTTCTAATTTTTGAGCACCTATATTAAGTAGAAGATTTATGATAAGAACTTTGTAATATTTCTACTTCTTGTGTAATATGAAGTTGTAGCTGAGCAGAATCTTGACAAATAGACCTGTCATGCAGAGAAGGTCAACATCCCTTTTCCTTGGGTATCAATGGGTGTCCATTGGTTTACAAGGGACTGAGGATTTTGCTGGGGGAAAACCCTAGATCTTTGATTCACTGTGGTTTTCGTGAGATGTCCAAGAGAGACTGATGGCTAACAGATATAGGGGACCCCGAGGAGGCACAGTCTGGAGGGAGGAATCTCAATGTCAAGGCTTGTCATTAGGATTAGGAGACCATGGCTAACCCATTTCACAAGTAAGTCCTGACCCAGTACGTATCTTCTCAGAGAGAAATAAAAGCATGCCTCTCTGTAATATGAACCATTTTCTGTAAGTCTGTAGTACTCTAGAGTCAGTCACCCAAAGAGTACCTGAACATGACATGAGGAAGAGAGCTTTCCACTTTCTGCTTTAAGAAAAGATGCTGGCAGACATCCCACAGGCTGCCATGGCCCTTGGTATCTTATAGAACCACTACCATGACCAGCCATGATGACAGGAAAAGATTTCTTACAACTTGCAGCAAGGTACTAGCAATTGTTTCATTTAGTTTGATAGTAACACTTCACCATAAGCATTGATGCTGAACGCATGGACTGTCTTACTTCCTGTTTTTCAAAAGCATCATTGACAGGGGCAGCCACACAGGGCTGCCCACTCATGTTCTGATCTGGGTTTCCAACTCATAACTGAACCGTCGTTGTGGGTCCAGCCAAGCTCACCAATCATGATGATGGCAGCAGTGGGTTTAGAACACAGGACTTCTCAAAGGACCTCCCTGCCAGCCTCACCCTAGTACCTTCCACCTTAGCTCTCCATAGCACTCGCAGCCATCTCATGGTCTCCAGTCCTTGTGATTCCTTGGCTTTTATTCTTTTTCTTGTACATTTTTGTTATATTTATATATTTATTGTTCATGCATATTTGTGAATGAGTGTGACTGTACATGCCAAAGCACACGTGAGGTGGCCATAGGAAAATCTATCTATTCTCTCCCACTGTATGGGATCCAGGGATGGAAGTCAGATCGTCGGACTTGGCAGCAGGCGCTTTTATCACTAAGCCATCTCACCAGGTCATTGGCGTTAGGGTTTCTATTGCTGTGATAAAACACCATGACCAAAGAAACCTGGGGAAGAACGTGTTTGTAAAGAGAAGCTTTTTCTTTGAGAGAAGCCTTCCCGCCAACCTGGTTCTAGAGCCGCATCAGTCCCAAATAAGCACACAAGAGGCTATATTCGTTATGAAGCTGTTGGCCTTGCTTGTTTCTTACTGGCTAGCTCTGACTTAAGTAATTACCCCATAATTGTTAATCTAAGTGTTTCTTTTACCGGAGAATAGTTCCGGGCTTCCTACCCCATGGCGGTTACATCTTGTCCTCTTGTGTTTCTCCTACCCAGAGTCCTTCTGGATTCCTAGTCCCTCCTATCTAGATTCCCTATTGGCCAGACAGTGCTTTATTGACAAATGCACAGGACTTCCCCAACACATGTTTATTTGGCTTATGATTCCATATCACAGTCATCACTGAAGGAAGTCAGGACAGGAACTTGAGCAGGGCAGGGACCTGGAGGCAGGAGATGATGCAGAGGTCATAGAGGATGCTGCTTACTGACTTGCTCCTCATGGCTGGCTCGGCATGCTTTATTATAGAACCCAGGACCACCAGCCCAGGGAAGACATCACCAATAGGTGAGCCCCCCCACCCCCAATCAATCACTATTTAAGAAAATGCCCTACTGCCCAGTCTTACAGAGGCATTTTCTCAGTTGAGGCTCCCTCCTCTCTGATGACTCTAGCTTGTGTCAAGTTGACATAAAACTAGCCAGGATACTGCTGTTGTTCTTTTGCTTATCTTGCAATGTAAACACCATAGAAGGACTAGCCTGGCCTGTTTATCTTTGTGTGCCCTGGATCAGTAGCTGGTATAAAGTGTTTAATATACATCAAGTTAATCCACTTTGTGAGTTTCTCAGAAATATTTGGGGAAAGATAAAAACTATCAAAATTTTTCGTTGCAGACTAGAGAAACCTAGGACTTTTCTTTATGTTGTAACAACCCTAAAATGGAAGTGCTCTGGCATGCTTCTTTTTCACACAAGGAAACGGTGGGATTAGAGGAAAAGCAACTCGCCTCTGGCCCCATAGATATTAAACAGACCACAGCTGGTAAAACTGGTATAAGAAACTGTAGACTATGTTTCCATAGTGGAAGCAGGAGCCAGGGAAAGCCTTAGCTAATAGGGAGGAAACAATACCAAGCAAAGCACAATGGTGCTCACATTGCAACCTCAGCATTTGGGATGCTGAGATTGGAAGATCATGAACTTAAGGACAGCCTGGGCAACATAGGGAGATCTCATTTCAGAAAACAAAAGAGGACTCTTTTTATGGCATCTCCTAGGCAGTCTGCCATGTCAAGATGTAGCCAGTATCTCCTTGCCACCCACCAGCTGCCAGAACGCATTGAAATGGATGAGGAACATAAACATTTTACTTTCTCAAAGAAATGCACGGCCACAGAAGTAGCTGCTGATCTCTGGTAAAGAGTGGAAGGGCCATGTGGTCCAGTGGGAAAAACAAGCAAGTTTTTCCTGTGAAGCAAGGTGTCTTGACTCATGGCCAAATATGTGCTTGCTGTCTAATCAGGGGCATTCTTGTTAAAGACCCAGGAGAACTGGAGAGAGGGATGTGCAAGACTGTTTCTAGATGCATTGTGGATGTCAACCTGAGCTGTCAACTTGGTAACTGTACAAACAGGAGAGAAGGATATTCCTGAACTGGCAGATATTACTGTGCCTATGCAGTTGGGAACCCAGAGAGCTAGCAGAATCCAAAAGCTTTTCATTCTCTCTAGAAAAGATAACATTCACCAATATGTTGTCAGAAAGCCCCTAAACAGACGTCAGAACCCCAGGACCAAAGCAAGAACGATCCGGCATCCTGTTACTCCATTGTCCTGCAACACATGTGTTGGCATAGTACTCTGAAGAAATAACACACCAAGAAGAAAGAAGAGGATGCAGAGTATGTTAAACTTTTAGCCAAGAGAATTAAGAAGCCAAAGAAAATGCCAGGAACAGACTGTGGAGGGGTGGTTGGGGGGGGGCTTTTAACAGTAACAAATAAAACCAGGTGGTGGCGGCTCACACCTTTAATTCCAGTGCTCAGAAGACAGAGGCAGGCAGATCTCTGAGTTTGAGGCCAGCCTGGTTTACAGAGTGAGTTCCAGGACAGCCAGGGCTACACAGAGAAACCCTGTCTCTGGGAGGGGGGAGCAGTAGCAAATAAATGATCAGAACTTGATAAAAGAAAGAATGAAAGAAAGGAAGGAGAGAGAGAGAGAGAGGAAGAGAGAGGGAGGGGGTAGGGAGGGAAGATAGACATAAGAAGAAAAAAAAAGATGAGGTTGGGGAAATGGTTCATAGGGTAAAAGTACTTGCCCTGATAGCGTGAGGAACAGAGCTCAAATACCTAGGACCTACAGAAGCTGGGCGCTGTAGCATATACCTGTAATCCTAGCCCTCCTACAGCAGCAAACAAAGAGACCCTGTCCCTCCCAAAATAAGTTGGAAGGTGAGGATCAATACTGTTGTTGTCCTAAGAACTCTACACATATGTGCTGTCAACAAACTCCCACACTCCCACACATATGCACATTACATAGACGTGTGCACACATCATGCAAACACACAAAAAGGAAAGTAAAAAATCATGAACACTCATTAAAAGTGGGAGAGAACTAAAAATATTAAACACACGAATAGAAGAAGTCCATATAATCAAATGAGAATTGAAGGGAGCCGTCACAGAGAGGAAACCAAGTAAACAGAAGACTGGCTTGTTGAAAACCAAGGAAGGGAGAGGCAAGACCTCACAGCTTTTAGCAAATCTGTTGTCTTAACTGTCTTCTATTGCTCTGAAGAGACACCATGACCATGGCAACTCTTATAAAGGA